AGAAAATAAAAATCTTCTCTTAGAAAAGACCATAATACCCTTATTACTTCCAAACTTTACTATTAAATCCAACATAAAAATTCTCTAACTAAGTCTCTGAACTTTTCAATTTTTTCAAAATTAGACATCAAAGTTTCAAAACTTAAATTTTAGTCACTAGCCCTTATTTTGGGATGTTACATTTATTGTCTTGAAGTATCTACAAGACTGCTTGTAATTATTGGACATGATCTGTCATGGTCTTACTATACGCCAAAATGTCATTAAAAAACCAAGACAAATTTCGTGAGATATGGGTTAAATAGGGTATTCATGAAAGAATGAAAGGTATCTGGAGCATTTGTAAGGCTGAAATGCATTACCCTAAATTTGTAGTGACTGTGATAAGTATGAAATGTCGTTTTATGAATATCTTATGTCATGATTCGTATTTGCCAATACCTCGATCATATGTCTGTTTTGGAAAAATAAACAATCCCATGTAACTCATCGAGGAGATCCTCAACCACCGTAATAGGAAACTTGTCCTTCATAGTTTGGTTGTTTAATTGTCTGCAATCAACACAAAAATGCCAAGATCCGTCTTTCTTCTTCACTAGCAAGCAGAGGGAAGCAAATGAGTTATTACTCGGCTGAATAATTGCGTAAGAGGGTATTCTAGCAATCTACTTTTTAACTTCAGCTTTTTGGATGAGGGTGAATCTGTATGGGTGTAGGTTTATTGTTGCAGATCATGGTTTAAAGGTAATAGAGTGGTTATGGGTTCTGCTGGGTGACATGCCCTATGATTCTTCAAAAATAGTTTGAAATTGCAGCAACAAGGGTTGTAATTCTTATGGAATTTTAGGTTTAGACTCATGTGTAGTTAGCATGAAGATGTGGCCATCACATTTGGGTTAATAGCTATCAATTTGTTGAAAATAATAGCCTGCAGTATTTTAGCATCATCATGCCCTTCAATAACAATCTGCAGAATGGGGTGTGTGGATTATCATCTCCCTGAATAATGTATTCTTCCACAAGTCCCTCTGGTGTTACTCCTGTAGGCATCGAATCCCCTTCCTCTATCATGTTTAACTAACATTTTTACATTGACAGCCCGGGGAGAACTTATCCCCACACTTAAAGCATAAATTATTCTACCTTCTATACTCCAATATATTGTCTTTAGGTTGTGTAGTAGGGTTGGTCTTTGCAGGTATTGGTGTAGTGGTTGTTTTTGTCGTAAACATTTGGGTTGGGTAGGGTGGGTTTCTAAAATTAATCTTCCGTCGTTTATTTTCAAACTCTACTGAGAGCTCATATAGCTTAGCTTGTCTGCTAGCTTCTGCCACACTTCTTGGATCCAATGTTTTAACTTGATACTTGATATCTTCCTTCAGCCTACTAATAAACATTGATATAAAGAACTCTTCTCCCGAATATAGATTTTGCAGTAGCATATAAGGTTTTAACTCCTAAAGCTGGTATTGATAATCATCCACAGACTCCCTCTGAAGTAACTTACTAAACTCTTCAGTAATATTTGGAAAGGATCAATAATTGAATCAGTGACAAAGATCCGCCTCAAACTCATGCCAATGAACGCGATGTTTTTACATTATATAGCCATCAAACCATGTTTTTACTCATCCTATTAAGTACATTGTTGTTACTTCCACCCGTTGATTGTCTGGAACGCCACACAAGTAAAAAGTACTTGTGATATTTTTGTATCCACCCCTTTGGGTTCACCCCGTCGAAGAAAGGTAACTCTATTTTAGGTTTATGCCACATATTCCCTGAACTAAGGAAAGATCCTCTTTGCCCTCTTATTTCTTCATCCATTCCAGTTAAGTTTTGTTTTAAACCACTATTTTCACCCATATTCATAACTGATTTAAAGTTGGGTTGTGTTACCTGAAATTTATCTTTCTTGGATTTAAGAATCCTTGGTTCGTCCATCTTATAAGATAAACGCGATTCATCATTGACCACTGTCACGTTGACATGTTTCTTTCCACCTGTTTTAGGATCAATAGAAGTCTGCACCTGGTCACCCTCCGAATTTGATTTCTCTTGCTCTCCACTTCTACCTGTTAAAATCTTCGAATTTTTTTCCACGTAGCTCTTATTAGTGGACATCCTTTTTTCGAGGCTAGTGATGTGATTGTCTTGTGTTTCCACCATCTGGGAGGGTTTGTCTCATCATTTATCTGGACGACTAGACTTGCTAAGTTCTCAATCTTCTTCTGAATAGCAGACATATCAGTGGATTTAGCATACCCCATATTCAATTTGCCAGGAATTATAGCTCTTGATACCAATTTGTTATGGATTAGATTGAGAGAAGAGAATAGACAAGAGGATATAGATTTTAGAAGAAGAAAAAATTCATCTTCTCATTCATGAAAAACGTATTCTGCAGTATAAGGTTTTATTTAATCACAATGTACTAGATTCCCTATCCAATTAACTGTCTTTTCTAATCTCCTTAACAAGAAGTACTAGTGACATCATTCAGATTGGGCTTCATTTTAACATACCCATCTTTCTCCAATCCACGTATATCCCTAACTTTCTTATTTTCTCGTGTATGTCATATGCCCCTTTTTGATCGATTCCTCCCCCAATTTCCCAAAATTGATTCCTACAATCCCTAATGCTTCCTCTATTTCCCCAATTTACATTTCCTTATGACCTTTTTCTTTTCCTCCAACCGTAATATTTTGCTCATTGAACTTTAAAAGTTTTCAATTTTTTCATTGAACTTAATACATTGTGAGTTTTTTTTACTGACCTTTACTTTTTTTTTTCCTATTTCGACCACTCTGCTGTTAAATAGTTAACGACATTAAATATGGTAACGTTTTAAAAAACAAAATTTTCACTTAAACAACGTCATTTTGCATCTATATAACGATCCATTTTAACGTCGTTAACTATTTAACAGTTAAGTGACAAAAAAAACCTAATATATTAAGTTTAGTGAAAATATTGAAAAAATTTAAAGTACAATAAAAAAATAAGAGAAAGTAAAATTCAAATACCAAATTTATAATTTACCCTTAAAAATATATTATCAATAGATTAAAAAAATTTGAACAAATATTTTTTATAAGGCTTAAATGCATATTTCCCCTTTAATTATATATTTTTTACCAAGTTACCCTAAAGTATTTTTGGGATGATTTGTCCCCTCAACTATAAATTGTTAATAAAATTTATTCACATCACTTTTAATTTTATTTTCTTTATCTAAATAAATAAAATTAAGTAATAAAATAAAAATATAGAACATACCAAAAATACCCCTCTTCATCTCCAGCATAACACCACCCTAACTCCCCTGTAAATTTTGCTGATAATGATGGAGCCTTCATAATCATCGTACTTGTTTTTTTTAACAATACAAAGATCTGATCCTCTTCTTTCATTTTACAGAAAGAGGAGCCTTTACATACAATAGGGGTAGTAGACCTAGTCAACAATAAAACAAGTATTTACAGAGAGAATAATCAATGCTTCATTGATTCATTAATGGTGGAGATTTTTGTTTTTCATCTTTAGCTTCATCTGGTGATGAGTTTCTTGACAAATTGATTGACTTCTCATGGGATGGGTCACTTACAGACCTTGGCAGAATGGAAGACTCTGAAGAATCTGTGGCAGAACAATGAAAAAAAAAGAATAAAATTCATTTACAATTTGGAAAAAAAAGTCATCTTTAAGCTATGATGTTTAAATGAAATACCTTGACAGCCATTAAAAGATCTCTTGCTTGGATTCCATCTTGTTGCTGCAACAGAGAATCGTCTCTCCTCTTAGATACAGCAGGCGCAGGGGGAACAGCCGCCACGGCGGAGGAAGCCGATCGGCTCTTTTCCAAATGCTTACAAACCACCCTAAGTCCTGCAGGAATGTTCACCTGCTTGGGGTTCTTCCCAACCTCCGCCTCCGCTTGTCCTTTTTCTGTCGTGGTTTCCTTCCCTGAAATCGGTTTCTCAGCAGCCGTAGACGGTGGAGTAGCGGGTTTCAAAAAGCCCAAGCTCAACTGCCCTGAAAACTTCAGCCTCTCGTCGTACCTTCTTGAAACCCGAACATAAAGCGGCTTAACTTTCTTCAAGTGTTTTTGCATAACGTCTTTGGAGAATTTCTTTTCGACAGAAAGAGTCTCGTCGGAGCTCTGTTGAGCTTTGATTTTTTAAACCTTAACAAGAAAACTCGAAACTTGGTGGCTGATTTCAACAATGAGACTGGAAATTGAGGAGATTTCGATTCCAAGGAAGAGTTTGTCTCAATGGGGACTAGCCTTCCTCTGAAGAACAGATCATCAGAAGGAGATAAAGTCAGGTTCGGATAAGAAGGGTCGCCGCTCGAGCCAGAAGAGAGCTTGAAATTGCACTCTCGGTCACCATCGGAGCAACCATCGTCAGGTTTTCCATCAATGCCATCATTTTGATCTTCACTTCCTTCACCTTCAACATCACCACCTTCTTCCTCGACGTCTTCGTTTTCCTCTGTTTCATCCTCATCGGGAACCGCAAGCTCCAGGTCAAAGAAAAGCCCATCGTCATCTTCTTCATCCCATTTCCCAAATTTAATACTTCTTTTAATGAGAAAATTTACAGGGTAGTTGGGGTTGGAAAGGAGGGCGATGTTGATGGTGGAGATGAATAGGGGTATTTTTGGTATGTTATATATTTTATTTTATTCATTATATTTTATTTATTTAAATAAAGAAAATAAAATTAAAAGGTGCATTAACAATTTAAGACAAACGGTATAATTAAGGGGATAAAAAATTTCGAAAAACACTTTAAGAGAAAAGGGGATATGTACTTAAGCCTACTTTATAATCACCAATCACTACTAAAATACAGTCCTTTAAATTTTAATTGTAAACAATTTTAGCAAAACTGCAGCAGAATGAAAATTAAATAAAAGGGAATAAGAAAAATGTAATTAAATTTTAGTACAATAACAAATTAAAGCAAAACTTTAGTTAAAATACATTTTATGATATAAGATTTACATATCAAGTAAGCAAAATTGTATTCTGCTCCGACTTATATTTCTTGAAGTATCCGTGGCTGTTACCATGACTACACATATCGGTCCAAATACATGAAGAAAAAAAAACCTTGGTAAAAGATTTAACATACTCGTGCTCAACTTATTTAGGTATTTAGCACTAACACTCGAATAACATCCGAACCCGAATCTGTAACAAGTAAAATTTTCGAACTATTGCAGAAAGTTACCATCGAAACCTTCAAAGTTTCGGATTATGTTGCTCATCTGATTTAAATGCTTCCCAACAATCCTCCAAGGACTTCCATCTGATTTCTTTTCTTTGACATAACCTGAAATCAACCAAGTTCTTCAAGGATCGGATTTCGTTTTTTATGTCTACGAGCTAGCATCGAAATATAAACAGAACTTGTGCAGTTGAATGAACTTAAACATCTAAATAGTTGAGGAACTTGTGAAGTTGTGTAGGAGAAGGATACAAAATTTGATCATGCAAGAGTGAAATGATACCTTAGAGGATTGAGGGGGCAAAGATGCACGTCGCAGAAACTTCCGGGGTTCATTCAATTGTCGAATCTCTCGAAGTTGACTAGCAATGTTTTCCAATATTTGCAACTGAAAGTGTTCCCGTCCCTTGTGCCCCGCTGGGAAGTTCAGTTTTTCTCTTCCTTGCTGTACAATCTTTAGCCTTTCTCTAAGCCAACCAACTTCATTGTCGATTTTCAACCTCTCGTAATCGAAAGCGGACATCGAACTTCTGCGTGAAATAGGAGGTACAGATTTAACTCTTGAAGGACCACATAGTGGTAATCTTTCAGGTCGATCTAGACTGCTGCTTCTCCTGTAAGCCTCAATTTCTAACCCACCAACGGTTCGATTATTGCATGTTCGAGGCAAGTCAGATTCATCATTAATGACATTAACATTGACAGGATGATAATCGGTACCGGATTCTGTTCCATGCAAATCTTCTCCATGCTTCTCCATTTTTTCATCCTTGTATGGGAAAATTATCTTAGTCTCAATTGCTTTTGGTGTCAAACATGGATGTGGACTGGTTTCTCTGCTTTGCTCCTCTTCGACTACAGTGTTAATAGCTTTCTCATGCCAATCAGATCTCGAAGGAGTGATTGACAGATCAGATTGAACGTAGCTTTCTTGATGCTCCGGATTCTTGTTCTCAGATGCCATTCCTTTCACCTCAAATTCTTGATTAATCTCGTAAATATTTCTGGATGGATTTGCATGATTTTCTTCGATAGTATAATTTAAAGAAGCAGGATCCTCATTGTGTTCTGAAACTGGTAATTCTTTCCCAAAATCGAGAGCATTATTCGGTGACCCAACAGATCCGACCCCATACTCCAAAAAATCAATGTTAGGCATTGTCTTTTCCTTCTCCCCAACAGATTCAGCAATCTGCTTTGACATTACCTGTTGCTTCATATTCGAAGTCTCTTGTTCATATATGGCTTCCATATCATACATATCCATATCCGATATCTCGTTTTCGCAGATCATTTTCTTGTAAGCTTCAACTTCTTTCTCCAAGAAATGCTTTTCTCTCTCTCTCCTTAATAAGATCTCTTTAAGAATGTTCATTTCTTCAGCATCATATGCGAATTTTTCCTCAATCATCCTCTGGTACTGCCTAGCTTCCATTTCAATTGTCGCCTTCTCCTCCTGCAGCCGCAGTATCATTGCCATAGCCTCATCAGCAGCAGTAGCAGCAGCAATTCTCTCTTTCTCAAGATCAAGGTACAAAGCAGAACGAGCTTCATGCTCTTCATCTAAAGCTTGTTCTAAGACTCTAACCGCATTTTTGTCACCGCCATCAAAATGCCGATCAGGCGTCAAGCATTCAAACCCAACCAACGTGAAATTTTCCTTGATTTTATTCTTGGTACAAGTATCATCATCCACTTCAAAGCCCTGTGAACCTTGCTTTGGCAATTCAATCTCTTTTGAAGTTTCCCAGCCATCTAAAATTAGAAAACCATTCACATTTGATGTGGTATTAGCATATGAAATGAAAAAGAAAACTAGTTCAAAGCACATGCATTCATTATGTACATCCCCTTTGACATTCAAAGCATTGTCAATAATTTGGATAACTTATTCCGAAAAGAAAAATTAACAATTGTAAAGTAGGACTCAATAGAATCAAAAACAATGTATAGATTTTTTGTTCATTCTCGTTAAAAGAAAAAGTCATTCAAACTATTCAGTACGGATCGGAAATGCTTAATAAAATAGATGGCATTTCAGAGATGGCATGTGGCCTATTGCCTGCATCTTCTCTTCTCTTCCCAGTTAAACGGAAGATTTAGGTTCAAATGAAGGAACATGAAGCTCCATCCATTAATGCTGCTAATATGCCATCGTTCTTCCAGGGTTCAACACTCCCATATCCTTTTTGTGGTGATGTCGCAATGGAACAAAAAGAAAAAAGGATAACCTTTTGAGAACTTCGTTTTATATTTCATGGACATCGAGTGTCTGATTATCAAGTTAGAATTCTAATAGTTCTTGATCATGGATATGAACAGCAACTTTATATGCAACTGTAACTTTAACACTTGCTGCATACACAAATGGTTTTGCCACTTACACACGCATGAACCCTGAAATAAAAGAAAAACTACATACAAACTTAATTTGTCAGTGAATGTTGCTCCGAACTACCCGTATCCAAGAGGGAGGCATAGCTATGGACGCCCGAGAAAATATAGAGAAAAAACGAGTGAATAATCACCCCAGGTCTGTGTAACATAGTTGTTAGTAAATCAGTTACCATATATATATATTAAACAAGTGAATTCTACAATGATCCCCCACTTATTTGCAATCCTCAGCCAATTATTAGCACACTCATCATCCAAGCTATCTTTCAAATGCAATTCCAACATAATCAAAATTCTAATAGCATAGAGGGAAATCAATTTGCTATTGCAAGCATGTTTCCCTCGAGTTTAAAACAGCTATATATCGATCATAACATCACATTACAGCCACTATTTAAATCCGATTCACTAGTAAAACCGAACATTTAGAAGAAAAAGACCCTCACCTTCAGAATCATCAGGGGTAGTTATGGAAGCACTCAAACCGGTTGGTGTAGAATCAATGGCAGCCAAAGGATGATTCGAAAATGTCAAAACCTTTCCTCCATAGCCATTTGCAACTCTCTTACGCCGCCTAAGGCCAACTTTAGGCCTCTGATTCCCAAATCTTCTTTTATTTGCTCCAACGGAGTTCTTCTTCGTATTACATGAACTAAACGATGCCTCCGCTCCCGTTTCATCATTCTCATTTCGCCATTTTTCAGAATTTGAATGGCAATCACCATCTTCATCATCATCAACATAGAATTCGTTCCAGATTGAATCGAAAGGAAGTTTTTCCTTAACAGAAGATCGAACAGAGGAGATTTTAAGATGTGGGTTATTAACCAACATGGATTGATAACATTTTTTCTTGTGTGGGTACCCAAACGATCCATTACACGGACAAGGCAAGGATTTCCCAAAAAAACCCAGAAATTTCGAAGCTAAATAAGCAAGAGTCGATCCACACAGCAAGAAGTAAGCTATGGAGAGATCGAGAAAAGCACCCACTAAAGCAGCAAACGTCCATGAATTTATCACATTGCATGCCATTAGAACAAAACAAAAACTACGATCTGGGTAACTTTCCCCGAGTTGGTTTTAGTTGACTCGGTTATTTGGGGACTGATACAGCTTACGAGAGAGGGTTAGTTGACTCAAGTAGGTGAAGGTCCAAGTAAGAAGTGAAGAGGGTTTTTTTTCCTTGGTGAAGTTTCTATTTTTTGATGCGATTTGATTGATACTTTCGACCGTTCACGGTTTTCAAAGCTTCGGTTACGTTTCCAAGATGGATCTAAACGGCGACGTTTGGAGGGTTCAGTAGATGACAAATTGAGAATGACAATTAGAGAGAGAGAGAGAGAGAGAGAGAGAGAGAGAGGAAGTATATTTGAACTATGTAATTGGATTTCAACACTATTTGAATTTAGAGTAAACTACATATTTAGTCACTCAATTATTATTTTCATTCTATTTAAGTCATCCAACTATTATTTTATTCAAAATTATAGTTAAAAAATTAAGGCTTAAAGGCTACTTTTATCTATTTAGTAGACTCAACTTATCATTTTTCACCCCTATGATATTTTCACATTAATTTAGTCTTCGAAGTTGTTAAATTGTATCAATGTTTAAAATATTTATTATTGTTTAGTATTTTAAGTTAGGGTTTAAACTTAAGATGATGCAATTAAACAACTTCGAAGACTAAATTGATACGGAAATATCATATAGGCGAAATTATATATTAAACCTACTACATGGGTAAAAGTAGCTCTTAAGCCAAAAATTAACAGTAACACTGATATGTCACGTCATCATTGAAAAATAAAAATTATCATGTTATCAGTCTTATCTATTTTTTAACAGAGTGTATCAAAATAAAATCAAAATATAACGTTAAAAACAATACTGATTTATGGGAGCTAGCTCAATGGCCGAATTATGAGCTATATGATCAGATTTTAAAGGCTCTAGTTTGAATGTGGATTGGGTTTATAGGAAGGGGCCGAGTGGCGGGCAATTCTCAATCAAGTCGTTCAGAAAGTTGATGGAGCATAGAAACCATGTTGATTTTAGTTGGATTAACGTCGTACGGTTAGGCATACTACTTCCTAAGGTTGAAACCTTCATTTAGTAAAACTTTTAAGGTACTCTTTTCTTCTTCTGCTGTCTCGGTCTAGCCTCGGTTCGATTGAGTTATGAAGGTGGTTTTAATAAAAAGTTAAATATGATTTAAAAAAATAGTTGAGCAGCTAAAGTAAAATTAAAGTGATCGTTGAGTACTTAAATATGTAACTTATCCTTGACTTTAATGTATAATTATATTTTTATTAAGTAGAGATGTATTATATTTTTGAAATAAATATTAAAATTTAAACTCATATAAAATAGAGCAATATAAACATCCTTCGTCATTCGAAGTGAATCTAATGTATATAATATTTTTAAAGGATCTATAATTCAATTTCACTATCCAATAGACCATTTCTGTTTTTTTACACAATAGGGCAAAACAAAAAAAAATTAGCCCAATAGGCATGTGAAAGTTTATTTAGGGATCTACGACATTTGCTATAGTAACTTAGAACTCGTCGTGTCGAGGTGATGAGTTTTAATAAAAAATATTTTTATTCAAACTTTTTACCCCAATGTGATAAAAATTATATTTTATTGGAACTCATCACCTTGACGTGACGAGTTTGAATAAAATATATTTTTAATTGAAACTCGTCACTTCGACGTGACGGATTCCATGAACACTATAGAAAATATTGTATATCCCAAAATAAACTTTTACTCTTCCTATTTTCCCAAATAATTTACCCATTTGTCTTACTGGGCCAAAAAAACCCATTTATGATTCTAAGGCCTCAACAACTTCAAATCTGCAAACCCACTGTAGTTCAACATAACTAAGGCCCCAATGGCCCTAATTCAATAAAAATATTAGGCTCGAATTTGATGTCTACATATATGAAATGAAACTATGAGTCTATGACCCAACCATGACCAGATTTACTTATGAAATTACTTCTATAAAGTAACAAAAATCAATCGCGTATAAGCATCAAGGAATGATTCATAAGTGAATTAGGTTGTTTCTAATCTTTTTGAGACTTACAAGTCAACTCATGCAAACCATGATTAGTCTCGAGATTGGAGATTCGATCTCGAGACTTTCATAACTTCAATATCTCAAGACTAAGAGTTCGGTCTCGAGACCGAATTAATGTTGATATAAAAAAACTAGAAAAATGCACAAAATGACTCAAAAATCAAACCAATTCAACCCTTTATACCCCAACATGTTCAAAATGCATCATGAACTCAATACATTGCATGAATACATGCATTTTGCATCATAAAACACACATCTTGTAACAAATCAAAGCTAACGTTTCCTCAACGTTTAATTTTGCACACAACATGTGACTTTCTTTATTTGGTCCTGACGTTTAATTGGATAAAAGATGTCACACTCTGATAACGGAGTAGAATCAAGTTTATTCAAAATCAAGTCAAACATTTTAAGTTCCGAGCAAGCATCAAACAAGGTTGCATGAATTGTTTTGCAGACAAAATTTATAGACATTTCAGCAAATCGACCAATTAATCACTCACTGATATCGAACTTTACAATTTTATAGTAATGGTACTGATACTAACTTAAGGGTGTCGATAGTCGATACATATAGTTCAGTTTCAACACTGTATTAAGATACCAATATTAATTTTGTCATAACCATTTTTTATTAAGCATTTTTAAATTTGTTTAAAAACGATTATGATTTTAATTTTGAAAAAATTGATAATCCTGAATTAATTTAGGAATTAAATTGAAAAGGGAGTCGCCATCGACCTTTGAATTAGGTAGGTCGAATACCAAAATACATGTTTTCTAAAAAAACAATTTTAAGAAAAATCATTTTTTATTATTTTTTTTTAAAAAAAGTACAAGTCTGCGTTATCAGAAAAAATTTAGGGGTTCGGAAGTCGGTTACGCATGTGAAAAAAGATAAACATCCACAACGCCCAAAAATCGGTACTTAGTCGTTTATATATCGTCGTAATGGTAGAACTTAAAGTTTAAATTAAAAGTAAAATTACGATCTATTTATTGAATATTAATTAAGATAATAGAAATCCTTCACTTGATAAGAAATCCCGAGATTTGCAATCCTCCATTGGGAAAGCTATCTCACCTATTTCTTATCCGTAAAGAATATTCAATCTTCGACTTCGAATTACCACCAAATAATATCAACATGGGTAGAAAATTAAATATGCTTTATTTTTCTAAAGCGTATATCATTAATATTGACGAAAAAAACATTAACACATTGAACATCACAAAAATAAAAAATAAATAAATAAAATGAAATAAAAATAAATAAAATAATGTGTATACTAAGAAAAGTGAATATTTAATGCATAACTTGCATTTATAAATATATTCTAACATGTACTCCAACCAAACAAATAGTAGAGGAAATAGAATAAATAAAATAAATAAAACAAAAACCAACATAAGTAATATTAAACATATATTTACAAAAAAATTAAACAAAGCCTAAATAAAATAATAGTGACCAAGCAAACAAATAACCCAAACAAGTCTTAACAGTGACTACAAATTACTCTGGGAAAAAACTCAGGTATTAAATGCGTAAATTACCATTTTTATATTATGAACAAATGACTAAAATAAAAACAGAAAAACATTCAGTGTAAATTCGGTATTTAAACCAAACAACAAAACAGTGATCAAAATGTAAATCTTATAGATGCAGAGTGCAATGTCAAACTTTACAAAATACTACTGCGAGGTGACCAATATATAAACTATACAAATTCGAGGTATAAAATACAAAATAAATAAAATACGATAATGACCATATTATAAATATACAAAATACGAGAACCCCTTTCACATAGTTTACCCATGCTGAAATTACAAACAAACCCTTGGCTAAAAGCTACCGTTTTGAACTTGGTTTATAAAGCCAAACCCAAGGCTTTTACCCGATGCATCTCTCATTTCTCCCCTTTATTCTTTTCTCTCAAAACAGAGAACCCAAAAGGCTCTTAACCCCTCTCTTCTCAGCCCTCCTCAGCCGAGGATTGAGACCCCAAAACTTCCTGACCACCACAGATCGATGGCCACGGGGAGCAGTCCTTACCCCTAAACCGAACAACCTTCTCTCAGACTACCTTTACTCCCATAGCCACCCCCTTTCTGTTAACGTAAACCCTAGAGAAAAACTATTAGCCTCGAACCCCTGACAAAACCCCAAAGAAAAGAAGGCCTTTACCTTCGGTGAGAGACGTGATTGGCTCCGATGAACGTTCTATGGTCGGATCTACAAAGTAAGGTTCGTTTCTTCTGGTTTTTTCTTTTCTCTCTGATTTTTTTTCTTTTTCTTTTCTCTTTTTTTTTTAAAACCTGAATCCCCTTTTTTGAATCAAAAAATCTTCCTTTATCTGATTGCATATCTCTGTTTGATGCTGTTGTCGAGGAAATAGGATAATGATATCCTATTTCCATTGATGGACTAGATAGGATTTTGCTTGGATTTTTCTTCTGATTTTTGTCTGTGCTTTCTGCTGTTTGATGGATGGCCATCACTGTTTGGCACAGGACTGTCTACGGCGACATCAGAGGTTGCCAGGGTATGGCTCGGCTGGGCAGCTGCAACATCGGCGTGCGATGATTGGAACGTTGAAAGGTTAGCGGCTGGAGCTGAAGGCCAACAGCTGAGCTGATGATATTTAGGGTTTTAAACCCTAAGCTATGTGCGATCTGGACCGTTGGATGGGTCCAGATCCAACAACCAGAAGTGAGACAGCTGGAGCAGAGAAGGAGAAACCCTAGAGTTAGGGTTTCGTTGGGCCTGGGTTGTAATCAGGAATGGGTTGAGAGATCCGGGCTTCAGGGTTAATTGGGCTTGTAATATGATATTGGGCTTCAAATGGCATGGACAAGAATGTAATTTATATTAATAATAAAAATGAAAATAATAATAATAATAATAATAATAATAATAATAATAATAATAATAATAATAATAGATAATAATAGATAAAAATAGACCCAGACAAAAATGGGTGTCTACAGCTGCCCCTCTTTGCACATTCTTGTGTTAACAAGGATAGGGCAAAGACGACAAAACCACACGTTTTTGTCTGGTTCTCTTTCTTTTTCTTAGAAATTGGATTATTCGTTG